GGGGGGGGAGTTGTTACAATAGTGGACTTGCCCTTTAAATCATAAAAGATAGAAATGGAGAAATGTGAAACTTCCGGAAAGAAACGAGTTTTGAGGTAAATTTTGTATTTATTCCGGTAACCAAAGAAACAAAGTAACTTGCGGGATCCTCCCCGAGCAGGAAGTCGGCTGTGCGCTGGGAAATTATCTCCCCCCATCTTCACTTGAAGGGGCCCTGTCATCAGCAGCAGAGGGGACCCTATAATGTGTGTACAAATCCATTTCCTTTTCTGGCCCCCCCCCCCGGGAGGCCCCACACCCCGAGGGCTAGTCACCCCTCCCCCGGCATCCCGCGATGACCTATCTGGAGGCGCCGCGCTGTATTCCGAGATCCGAAATAAACAGACAAAATGGAGACCGAAAGGCTTTCCTGTGCGGTGTCCCCGCAGTGCCACCCCGTGGCCACGCCGAGAATTGCGCCCTCATCCTCCCGGGCTGTGTATCTGGGGGAGTTTTGGGGAGTGTGCGTCCTGTCCCGTGTCACATGACCTCCCTCATAATAAGACATAGATAACCTCGCGGTGTCACCCGGGCGGGCGATGGAGCAATGCTCTTTTTTTTTTTTGCCATCTGTGTCCTGTCGGTGAGACTTCATTTCCTGTCCCTGAAACACAACAGGAAGTGAAAGGGAATATCACAATTTTACCTTCTACAAATGTCTTTGTTGGAAGATTTCCTCACTTCCTGTTCTGGTGACACCGGTGACAACTTGGGATTCCCCTTCACTTTCTGAGTCTGTGACACCAGAAGAAATATCGGGGGGGCTCTGTGGATAGGGGGAGGGGGGCGGTTGGCAATAATACTCCCCAGGACGGGGCAGTGACGCTCTGTGGATGGGGGAGGGGGCGACAGGTTCTCTTTTATCATATTCGGTCACAGGGACAATTCATTGTATACAGATCGGGTCCTCCAACACGACGTAACCCCTCCCCCCTTCTCATTGCAGGATGTTCGATGTCGGCGGGCAGAGATCCGAGCGTAAGAAGTGGATTCATTGCTTCGAGGGGGTGACGGCCATCATTTTCTGCGTGGCTCTCAGCGCCTACGACCTCGTCCTGGCGGAAGACGAGGAGATGGTGAGCAGATGTGGGATGGGGCCCCTATGTCGGGATGGGGCCCCTGTTAGGGTCAATATTGGGTGCTGTGATCATATAAAACACAACTCCCCTCACACTGAAACCGTTTCACCCAATGGGTCTAATGGTAGAGGTGACCTTTAGGATTAGCCCCGGTCTGCACATACAGGTCGCACTCAGCCATATACTATCCGTATACCTCCCCTCCCCCCATATATATATATATAGTAAAGGTTATAGAACACCAGCCCCTTCCCGCCGGCTGTTATATGACAACACCGAGATCATTCTTATATGCGCACCTCGGTTGTGCCGGCTCACGATCACCTAGCAACGGCAAGAAGCCAATAGCACGGACTCCCAATCACAGTGATCACATGATCAGGAAGCTCCACCCACCAAACGGATGACGGTGCTCTGGAATGACGTTCCTCTTAAAGCAGGGGGAGCCAGACTCCGCACCCTCCAGCTGTGGGGTGCAACTACAAATCCCATGAGGCATTGCAAGCTTCTCACAGCCACGACTCCCGGGCAGAGAGATGCATCGTGGGATTTGTAGTTTCACCACAGCTGGAGGGGGCGGAGTTTGGCTACCCCTGCCTTAAAGGGCCGGCGGATAGGAGCTAACGGAGCTTTTATTAACCTTTCACATTGTATCTAAAAATCTAATGAGAACCCCAAATCCCCCCCCTAGCGCCCCTCGTAGGGTGGCATCGCATGTGCCCAGTGTGAGCGCCCCTCGTAGGGTGGCATCGCATGTGCCCAGTGTGAGCCCCCCTCGTAGGGTGGCATCGCATGTGCCCAGTGTGAGCGCCCCTCGTAGGGTGGCATCGCATGTGCCCAGTGTGAGCGCCCCTCGTAGGGTGGCATCGGATGTGACGGAGGTCTCGGAACCGCCATCAGGAGCATCTCCAAGGTTGGTGAACCTGTGGCAGTGCCAGCAGGGACGGGTCGGCTTCTCGCAGGTTCTGGAAGGGTTGAGTCCTTCCAGATCCGGGCCGGCGTTCTGGGATGAGATGGATGGAAGTGGTCATGGA